TGAAATTAATAAATACATTAAAAAAAATACTATGAGCAACTATACTCCAAACAAACCAGTCAACCTAGAAGAAATGGACATATTGCTAGAAAAATACAACCTTCCAAAACTCAACCAAGAGGAATAAAAAAATCTGAATAGGCCGATAACTATGTAGGAAATTGAAGCAGTAATCAAAAAATTTCCAACCAACAAAAGCCCTTCACCAGACAGCTTTACAGGGAAGTTTTATAAAACATTCAAAGAAGAAATAAAACCTATCTTCTTCAGAATTTTCAGAAAAATTCAAGAGGAAGGAGCACTTACAAGCTTTCTATGAAGCCAGCATTACCCTAATTGCAAAACCAGATAAAGGTAATACAAAGAAAGAAAATTACAGACCAGTATCTTCATGAATATAGACGCCAAAATTCTCAACAAAATTCTAGAAAATCTATTCCACATTACATTAGAAAGATCATACACCATGACCTAGCTGTTTTGGCTCAGAGGACAGAGCATCGGCCTGCAAACTGAAAGGTCCCAGGTTTGATTCCAGTCAAGGCCACAAGCCTGGGTTGTGGGCTTGATCCTCAGTGGGGAACTTGCAGAAGGGAGCCAATCCATGATTCTCTCTCATGGATGTTTCCATCTCTCTCTCCCTCTCTGAAATCAATATATATGTGTGTGTATACACACACACACACACACACACACACACACACACACACACACATTTTTTTTTAAAGAAAGATCATACACCATGACCAATTGGGATTTATTCCTGGGATACAAGGATGGTACAATATCTGCGAATCAATAAATGTGATATACCACATAAACAGAGAAAAAACCCATATAATTATATCCATCGATAGAGAAAAAGCGTTTGACGAAATCCAACACCCTTTCTTGATAAAAATTCTCATCAAGGTGGGAACAGAAGGATAACACCTCAACATAATAAAAGCCATATATGACAAACACACAGCCAACATCATACTCAATGGGCAAAAACTAAAACCATTTCCCCAAAGAACAGGAACAAGACAGGGATGCCCACTTTCCCCACTCCTGTTCGACATAGTATTGGAAGTACTACCCACTGCAATCAAACAAGAAGAAGAAATAAAAGGCATCCAAATTGAAAAAGAAGAAGTAAAACCATCCTTATTTGGAGATGACATGATATTGTACACAGAAAACCCCAAAGACTCCATCAAAAAACTACTAGATTTAATAAATGATTTTGGCAATGTATTAATAGCAAGATACAAATTAACACCCAAAAATCTATGGCTTTTCTATATACCAAAAATGAACTCACAAAAAAAGAAATTAAAAAAGCAATCCCATTTACCATTGCAACAAAAAAATTAAGATACCTAGGAGTAAACTTAACCAAGGACATAAAAGATCTGTACTCGGAAAACTACAGGACATTGAAAAAATAGAGGAAGATATAACCAAATGGAAGAACATACCATGTTCATGTATTGGTAGAATTAACATCATTAAAATGTCCATACTACCCAAAGCAATGTATATATCCAATGCAATCCCCATTAAAACACCGATGGCTTATTTCACAGACCTAGAACACATTCTCCAAAAATTCATCTGGAATAAAATAAGACCCCGAATAGCTTCAGCAATCCTGAGAAAGAAGAACTATGTTGGAAGGATCACTATACCAGATATCAAGCTATATTACAAAGCCACTGTTCTCAAAACTGTCTGATACTGGCATAAGAACAGACGTATAGAACAGTGGAACAGAACAGAGAACCCAGAAATTGACACAACCCAGTATGCTCAATTAATATTTCACAAAGGAGGCAAGAGAATACAATGGGGAAAATACAGTCTCTTGAATAAATGGTGTTGGGAAAACTGGACAGATACTTGCAAAAAAGAGAGAGAGAGAGAGAGAGAGAGAGAGAGAGAGAAACTAGACCACCAACATACACCAAACAAAAAGTAAACTAAAAATGGATAAAGGACTTAAACATAACATGGGAAACCATAAAAATCCTAGAAGATTTTTAGGCAGGAAAATAGCAGACATTTATCTTAGCAAAATCTTTACTGTTACAGCTCCTAGGGCAGTGTTTCCCAAATTTCTCTCATGACAAGAATCACCTGGTGAAGTTGTTAAAATACAGATACAATTAAGAAGTGCTAAATTAGAATTTTGGGGAACATATAGGTAAAATTGTATACTTAACTTAGTGCTCTGTCTTAGGGTTTTTTTTCCTTCTCTATACCTACATATGTACTACTATTTGTAATACTTTAAACAATAAAATAAAAAAAAAATTTAAATAGCTAAATAAAAATCTAGAACTGAAAAATACAACTGAAAAGAAAAGAGCTCTAAGTATACAATTTTACCTATATGTTCCCAAAAATTCTAGTTTAGCACTTTTTAGTTGGGATTCAGGAATCTGTATTTTAACAACTCCACCAGGTGATTCTCATCATGAGAGAAGTTTGGGAAACACTGTCCTAGGGCAATGTAAACTAAAGAGAAAACAAACAAATAGGACTACATAAAAATAAAAAGCTTCTGCACAGCAAAAGAAAACATCAACAAAACAACAAGAAAGCCTACTGCATGAGAGAACATATTTGCCAATGTTATTTCTGATAAGGGTTTAATCTCCAAAATTTACAGGGAACTCATACAGCTTAAGAAAAGATAACCCAATCAAATATGGGAAAAGGACCTAAATAGACACTTTCGAAAGAGAACATTCATAAAGCCAAGAGACATATGAAAACATGCTCAAAGTCACTAAGAGAACATTCATAAAGCCAAGAGACATATGAAAACATGCTCAAAGTCACTCATATGAGAGATGTAAATCAAAACAATGAGGTACCATCTCACACTTGTAAGAAAGGCAAATGCTGGAGAGGATGCGGAGAAAAAGGAACCCTCGTGCACTGCTGGTGGGAATGTAGACTGGTGCAGCCACCGTGGAGAACAGTATAGCATTTCCCCAAAAAATTAAAAATGGAACTGCCATTTGACCCTGTAATCCCACTTCTAGGAATATATTCCAAGATAACAGAAACACCAATCAGAAAGGATATATGCATCCCTATGTTCATAGAAGCACTATTTACCATAGCTTAGATTTGGAAACAACCTAAGTGGCTATTGGCAGATAAGTGGATTAGAAAACTGTGGTACATCTACAGAATGGACTACTACACTGCTGTAGAAAAAGGACAGAATTCTTACCATTTGTAACAGAATGGATAGAACTGGAGAGCATCATGGTAAGTGAAACAAGCCAGACAGTGAAAGAAAAATACCATATGACCTCACTCATTATGGATAATAAAGAACATTATAAACTGATGAACAAAAATAGATACAGAGGAAGAGAAGCATCAAACAGACTGTCAAACTAGAGCGGGAACACTGAGAGGGTTGGGGGGTAGTGGAGTAAAAGATCAATTAAAGGACTTATATGCATATGTATAAGCATAACCAATGGATGCAAGACACTGGGAGGGGAGGAGGGAGTAAGAGAGGTGGGGGAAAGGTCAATGGGGGTGGGGGGAAAGAGACATATATATTACTATTTGTAATACTTTAAACAATAAAGTAAAAAATTTTAAAAATAGCTAAATAAAAATCTAGAACTGAAAAATACAACCGAAAAGAAAAAATAATTTCTGCTTACATCAATAGACAGCAGCTCTGAATAACAACCAATAGAAGCAATATAAACTCCATACACAAAACCTTTACTTCATTTCCAATTCTTGTCAAATTTGGCTTTTAGTATGTTCTCACTATAAACCCAAGTATAAATCTGTTCTGTTTGTAACTATAAGTAAGTTTTAATGAAAAAGTAAAGTCCAAACAGATACTGAATGCAACATATAAATATTTCATGCCATATATTTTTTTGCAGTTAAGAGTCTTAGGTTTACCTTTTTGATCTATGTTTCAAAATCTACCAGGTCATTTTTTTTTTTTTTTAATACATGCCTAGTGATAACATACCAATATTATTATTATTTTTTTAACTTTTAAAAAAAAATGTACTTTATTGATTTTTTTACAGAGAGGAAGGAAGAGGGACAGAGAGCTAGAAACATCGATGAGAGAGAAACATCAATTAGCTGCCTCTTGCACACACCCCTACTGGGGATGTGCCCGCAACCAAGGTACATGCCCTTGACTGAACTAGAACCTGGGACCTTTCAGTCCACAGACCAACGCTCTATCCACTGAGCCAAACCATTTTCGGCCATACCAATATTATTATCCATAAAATAATGTAATAGAAAAGAAAAAGGTATAGATAAAATTAGTGTGGCCAAATTCTGATGACTGATAACTCTGAGGTTCATGGTATTTTTCTGTTACATGTTTGAAAATTTTCATAATAAAAGTTAAAGAAAAAAATTAATTAGCAGTGCTCATCTTTTCCTTTTTAAACGGTAAAGCAACTACAGGCCAATTCATTTATGAGTTTATTCCCTGAGCTAATCTTCACTGTTGTTCCAATTACATACTGTCATGTATTGTAATCTATTAGCATAACTTCTAAGTGCAAAATCTTTATATAGAATTAAACATGGGGTTTAAATAAATGCTACTTACTGAATATTCATCTATTTTTTCTCATCTATTTAAAATGAATACAATACTATCCCTCTACTATACTACACATGACTATTATGAGGATGAGATAATGGGTAAGAAAAGAAACTTGGCCCAGCCAGGTATGACTCAGCAGTTGAGCGTCAACCCAGGAACCAAGAAATCACAGGTTCAATTCCCAGTCAGAGCAATGCCTGGGTTGTGGACTTGATCCCTAGTAGGAGCATGCAAGAGGCATCTAATGATTCTGTCTCATCCCCCCCTCTCTGAAATCAATAAAAATATATATTTTGAGAAAAATAACTTTGTAAAGAAATAAAAAGTAATAAGAAATAAGCAAAAGAATGAGCTGTACCCAAATAATTACACTTACTGTTTGGTTATTATTATTTACCTTTACGTCATTATTTCCTACAGCAATTCCTATTTCTGCAAGATCTTTTAGCAAAGATGCCATCATCTCAGCTGCTCGTTTTTTCTGGTGGTTAGTCATTTCCTTAAGTTTCTGAAGCTCAGCATCTATACTTGCTAAAGTTGCCTAGTAGATACGCAAAAATGAAAGTTACAGTTAATCTATTAAATGAAAGGTCAATTCAAATATCAACAGGTATTGACATGACTAACAAACTCAAAAACATTATTTTTTTTTTTTTGCTTTCATTTTCTTGAACTATTTAGTTCTGGAATAGTTATCAGTTTAAACCTACAACACATTTTAGACTTAACAGACAATGTAAAGTTGAAATACTTTGCTCCATTAAGAACAGTAGTCTGTATTACTTAACTACAGATTAAGTAATGTTTTTTGCCTTGAAATGACCAACTTCCAAATTACTTAGATTCCATTTTCATTTATTGCCATAAGTCCGAGCAAATTAATGGAACTGAGTTTTCTAGATAGTTGGTATATATATTTTTTGCCTTCTCTATACCTACTTATCAAGTCTTAAGAAAAAAAACAAAAAAAACTATATCTTACTGATTTCTGATTCAGTTCATCACTAAGCAATTCATATTCTTTAGTTTTGTCTTCAACTTCCTGAGACTTCTGATCATAATTGACAGCAAGTTCCTCTAAGGCTTGTAAAACTTCCTTTACTTCTTCTTTAGAGGCATCGTTTTCTGCTTGAAGGCGATTCAGTTCAGCTTGCATATTATCTTGATCCCTTCTGGTAGATGCCAGAAGCTACGTGAAAGAGTAAAGTTACCAAAGTACTATATCAGTTATAAAAAAACAAACCTATTAGTTAAGCACAAAGGGGAGGAAATGTGGACGCTATGAAGTGTGGAAACATTAATTCATTCAACAGATTTACTGAATGTTACTATGTGTAGGGTAGGCACAGTGCTAGACACTGTGAAGAAAATCAAATAAAAGCATTGTCATTAAAAACTCTTAATAAAATAAAAACTTTGTCATTGAGGAATATAGATGAAAAGATGTACATAATAAATGGAATATGGATGATATGCAGGAGCCATAAAGGAGGGTCAGGACATGACAAATGAAGAGCTTGGTAGTAAATAAAAGGGGTGAGGATATTTTGTAGGGAAAGCAGAAGGATGGAGAAGATGCCTAAGATAGGTAGATTTAAGTCAAGTGCAAATTAATGTGCTAGAAAGACAAAGGCATTCTAGCCTCATGTCTTGTGTGCATAGAAAAGAAAGAAATTAATAGATGTTTAGAAAATTTGCTTTAAAATTTAGATATTGGGGTAGCTTCTGAATTATGCTTCAGAAAAACTTGGTATCCTATATAATAAATAGGTAATGTGCAAATTGAACATCATTCACACAAGATGGCCACCCCCATGTGGTCAAAGATCCTGCTCCCATGTGGACACAAGATGGCCAGCAGTTTGGAGGGACCAGGCCTGCAGAAGAGGGTAGTTAAGGGTGACCAGGCCTGCAGATGAGGGCAGTTGAGGATGACCAGGCCAGTAGGGGAGGACAGTTGGGGAGGACCCAGGCCTGCAGGGGAGAGCAGTTGGGGGCGATCAGGCCTGCAGAGGGCTTAAACAGGAAGTTGGACATCCCTTGAGGGGTCCCCCAGATTGGAGAGGGACATCCCCCTCCCCTGTGCACAAATTTCATGCACTGGGCCTCTAGTTAGTATATAAAATCTGAATTGGAAAGAAGCCAAGAGACTAGCAGTTAGGAGGACATTGCAATTATCCAGTCAGACAGTGGTTTTTAAATAAGGGCATATGGAAATGTGTGAGGATTATTAGTAATGGAACAGAATGCTACTGGCACTTGAAAGCAGGATCCAGGGATGCTAAAAAATGCTACAATGCACCCCCACAAACATAATGAAGAAGTAGGCAGATGGCCATAGGGAAAGGGGTGGGGAGGCAAGGGCTTGTGTAGATAGGTAGGGGGAGGGCAAGGGGAAAGAAGATGTCTGTAATAGTTTAAACAATAAAAAATGTTGAAGGAAAGGAGGGAAGGAGGGAGGGAGGGAGGGAGGGAGGGAGGGAGGGAGGGAGGGAGGGAGGGGCAATTTTTACCAGTGCCCTTTGAAAAAGAATGCTAGTTGAAATCAATATAAAGATCGTCTGATTGATGGTGGGTATTTCTTTCTTATTGAACCTGTATAGTCTTTGCCACCCTTCATCAAAACAAACCTTAAGGGAGAGGGAGTCTAAATTTGTTACAGTTCACTGTAAAAGTCTTTCCCAAGGATCAGTAAGAATGTTTGGGGGAGAATAAGGAAACAAAACAGCATTGTACCTTAAGTAAGTAAAGTAGAAGATAGCTGAAAAGAAATTCAGGAGATGTATGCTAGTATAGTTTTTAAAAAGTTATCCTCTCCCCTCTAGTTAAAATTCAACATTAAACTTTAAGAGAAAGTCATTCTATGCTTCAACCACATGATGTATCAATCTCATAGAATAGACACAATGAAGCATTCACATATTAAACATTTTTTTAACGGACTTAGTATATTTTGAGCTCTGTAGATTTGTCTTTTTCCGGAAATAATATGGAAGGCAAACAACTACCTCTTACTGATCCAACATTTGTGTCTTCAATTTCAATGACAAATTATAAAGCTTTTCTGAAAATAACATGAAAAGTTTTCAACTTACCTCTTCCTGATCCAACATTTGTGTCTTCAATTTCTCTACCAACTGGCTCTGCTGATTAATTTCCTCATCCTAGAATTTCAATATAACAAGTTGCTCACAAACTGGTTGTAATTGTTTCCTAACACAAAATTAAAATAACTATCACCCCTCCAAATTATTTCAAAACCATATTTTATTCCAATCACTTAAGAAAATGTAGAAACAGATATAATCCCTTTCAATTACCAATAATTGTAACACTTCTTTTGCAGTAAGAAAATAGATAAACCTATTTATCATGCAATAAGGAAAAAAACCTAACCATTAAGTATTTTAAATGCAAAAAGTAATAAATATAATATGTTCTAAGTTATTACTGAAAATAATGGCCATGCAGCAATATCAAAACTGCCATCTCTGCTTAAAATATATAAATATATCATCTAAGAACAAAAAGCAAAACTAGAGCTATTTTCTTCTAGTCTCGTATTGCTCCTCACCCCCCATTCTTCTCTATTTGTTTCATAATTCATTATTTTTCACACTACTGATATAATCAATATAGGAAGATATGTTCCACTATCTAATATTTTACATTATCTTTATCTTCAGATCCCTTATTCTAAGAGGCCATTCTATTTAGTTTCTCCCATGATCCAATGCCAAATTTCCTTTAGAAAGTTATTTTAGCTTAAAAATGAGGAGATGGTAGTGGGAAAACAAGCCTCATATAATTTCTGCATAGAAACAGTGATTTTTTTTAATACAATGATCAAAAGGCTAACAGATATCAAGAGAGATGCATATTGGTCATGAGGACCAATATACATTAAATTAGAAAATAAAAATACCTACAGTGATAATACTCTACAACAAAATAGAACATGAACAATACCTACCTTGTCATCAAGTTGTTTGTACAATTTAGCAATTTCTTCTTCACACTTTCTTCTTTCAGCATCAGTAAGGTTTCCAGTAACTCCAATTGTGGTTGCTGGTTTATCATTGGTAATAACAATATCTTTATCCACTGTGAAAGCTTCCAAGTTGGCTTTCTCTTTGTCAAACTGCTCATCAACAGGTACTGTCTCTCCTATAATAAGACAAGTTAGTTAATAAAACTCACCTGTCTAAAACTAATTTCAATTTTATTCAATTTTAACAGCTCCTAACCAGTGTTATTTGCTCTGTCCCTGAGATTTGAAAAGATGCAATTACCTTTATTTCCCCATCCTGTAATCGTCATCAAATCTTTATTCCTTCCACCCTAATCTAGGCACCTTGCCATCTTATGACTTTTATAGCTTCCAAGTTGGCCTTTGTGCCTCTATTTATTATTTCAGGTAAAATCAGAATTTAATGTAAAAACTTAATTCATATTTATTTGATGATCTCTAATGCCTAAAAAGTGAAAATGGATTATGCTTTGCTATCTTATTTATATTTATACCTAAATCTCAAATTTATAAAGTAGCTCTAAATCTTTATCCAACAACTAAAAATGACAACTTCCTAAGTTATTACCATTTCGCCATCGGTTGAGTTCATTTTCAAGCCACTGAATGGTGTTACGGAGGGTCTTATTTTTTTCTTTTTCTCTTTCATACTTCTTTTTCCACTGTTCTGCAGTTAACTCTACATTGACACAAACTGTATTCTTAATTGTTTTGGCCCTAAGAAAAGTAATTGGGGGGAAAAAGAATGTGACTGAAATTATTTTCAATTGACATCTAATTTCTCTAGGTAATGTATGTATATATCGCTAAGTAACAACTTTTCTTGTACAGTTAACTAATCTTGGAGCTATAATTAGTATAGTACTTACTCACACCCCAACTATATTCGGGTCAGCCCTAACATCTGTGAATAGCTTAAAAAGAAAAATCAGCAAATTGATGAGGATAAAACACAAGGGCCTATATTTTCCAATTTATTTGCAAGGTTGAATTAAGAAAGGAAATTGTTGAAATTTAAAGATAAAGCCATCATTATCTTCTTAGGCTAACTATATTATACAGGTTATTTGAATCCTGTCACTTATACCAACAGGTTTAGAATAGGATTATATATATATCAGCTTTGTACTCTATTGCATGATTCAAATGTTTATTTTCTTTTATGCTGAGTTGCAACATCTTATTAATTTGACTACATTTAACATTTTACTTTAATGTGTGCTAAAACTTAATTCAAATACAAGCAGTCTAAAAAATGGACCTGTACTCATATGAACAATATCTATCAACATTTTCCTAGATTTAATCAATAAAAGGCATATGTATGTTCAGACTTTGTAATTGCTTAAAAACAAACCTTTGGCCAAAAAGGAGTGTCGATTTTGTTTCAGATTCATTGTATGATGATGGAGAGCAGCAAATTACAATAGTGGTTCTACAGTTCCCACCTAATGAATCTTGAAGGATTCTTGTCATTTTACTATCTCGATATGGAACATAAGTCTACATATAGAAACAAAATATCAATGGGTTTCTACATAATAAAATATATTACATAAATATGCTATTTAAAAAAAACTACAAAGTGACTTCAGTTATCCTATATAATAAAAGGGTAATATGCAAATAGACCAAACAACCAGTTGCTATGACATGCACTGACCACCAAGGGGGAGGGGGGACCATGCGTAGAACATGGCATGTATCAGCCTCAGCAGGATGGTGGAGCAGGTGAGTAGGGGCAACAGACCAAGGCAAGGTGTTGGTCACTGTCATCAAAGTGAGCTTTAGATAATCACTGAAAATTTTTTGCTTCCACCCACAGCAGCCCTGCCCAGCATTTGCACCTGCTGCAGGTGCTGGCCCCACTCGCACTTGCTGCCATCACAGGAGCTGCCAGCACAGGAGCCGCCGCTCGCACCCACTCCTGGCCCTGATCACTCAGCTCTGTCAGCAGGTGTGAACGGTGGCTACCAGCCTCAATCTCCACTCAGGGCTTCTGCACCTCCCCCTGCTCCTGAGGGGAGATCAGGGCTGGCAGCCGCTGCTCGCACCTGCTGACGATGATGGCCCCACTTGCACCTGGTGCCACTGCTCAGCGCTTTCAGTGGTACGAGTGGTGGCTGCTGGCCCTGATCACCCTTGAGGGCTTCTCCACCTCCCCGTTCCTGAGGGGTGATCGTGGCAGCAACTGCCGTTCACACTCGCTGCCGGTGTTGGCCCCACTCACACCTGATGCTGGTGCTGGCCCCAATTGCTCCATGCCTTCAGTGGGTGTGAGCTGGGCTGACGCCATCAGCATGTAGGAGTAGCATTGGTGGGAGTGGGGCTGCTGGCAGACAGGAGACCATAAGGCGGGGGAGGGGACTGCGCACACACGGAGAATGAGCTGAGACCCACACCTGTGGCTACTGCAGCCTCACAGCCCACAGTTCCTTTCAAGGTGTACGAATTCATGCACTGGGCCCCTAGTTTGTTTAATATTAAGATGAGGATATGCATACTAATACTAAAAAATAAATTTCTAAGAGACAACGAATTCACACAAAGATTCAAATACAATGAATCATACCCATACCCACAATCTTAAGTAATTCAGTAATTCCCCATAAGAACAGGAAAATAGAGGACATACTTACACTACCCTCGGCCAAGGCAGAAATAACATTTCCAAGAGCAGAAAGTGACTTGTTGATGTTCTTAGCTTCATCTAGCACAGCACCTTCAGCTCCAGTTTTACTAACCTATCCATAAGATTAAAAAAAAAAAATTACAAGTTTAAAACGAATTTTTAAATTTTCTAAAAAGTTCAGAAGTCATCAATAATCAGCAAAACAGAAAGAAAAGTAAAGCTTTATGACATTATTTGCCTAGTGTTTACTCTCAGGTATCACTATTTCTCAAATATAATTCTTTTGAGAACTTGGTTAAATACCTATCTGCATAACAAGAACATAATTAAAAGAGACAACAAATTTTATTTTTAGCTTTCGTTCTTCAAAATAACCAATTTACATGTGTATTTAAATTTTACTAAATTGTTAGTATACTTTGCTACATCAGAAAAGAGGAACCATTTAAAATTTGCTAGAGCATAATGTAGAAATTTGCTAGAGCATAATGATGAAATTGTTAGAAAACTAAAATTGAATTTAAATATATAAGCAAACTTGCTTCTTTTTTAAAAAATGTAAAATACATATATTAAGTATAGGATAGAATAATATGTTGCAATGTTGGTGGAAGAAATGGCCTCCCAGAATCTGCAAAATAGAGACAGGCTTAAAAGGATGGATGTAAGACTTTTGAGTAGTAGCAAATAGGTACATTCTATTTAGAAGAAACAAAATTAGTAAAACAGCAAAAATGGTCATAGAGGTCAATATTAAGACATTTGCACTTATTTTGAAATAAACTAAAATAAGACTATTTAGGACTGTAAAAATGAAATAATCACCCTGGCCAGTTGCTCAGTGGTTAGAGCATTGGCCTGCAGTCCAAAGAACTGTGGGTTTGATTACTGGTAAGGGTGCAAGTAGGAGGCAACAAATTAATGTGTCTTTCGCACGTCAGTGTTTCTCTCTCTCCTCTCTCTCTCATCCCTCCTTTCTCCCTTCAATGAAAAAAAATGTCTTCACTCCTGGATGAGAATTTAAAAAAAAGAAAAAGAAATAATCATCCAAAGAAAAGAAATAAGTACACCCAAAGTAGAAAGGACTAAAGGATAGTTACCAGTTTTCACAAGGAGCCCTTTGCCAATAGGGATAAAAAGATACAAAAAATTAGGATACCTAAAAGAATTCATAATGACATAAGCTAAAGAAATCCTTAATAAAAACATTCATCTTAAGTCAAAGGTAACACCTATTTGTTGAACTGGACTAAGTTCAAATAACAGTGATTTGAACTGATTATTTAGGTTATGTAAGCATAAAGTATTGACATGGATGCTTGCAGCTCTCAAAAATGCTTAGATATGTAAAAAGATTTACCTTTTCACTACCTGCTAAATCAACCAGATAAAGTTTTCCACTCAGCTTTTGCTCCGTTTGCGTGTTCTCTTGTTTTACATTAATAAGAAATATACTGTGACTTCTAGAGCTATGTTCATTCATATCTGCAATGAAATTATACAACTATAAATAAACATGGCTTTCCTTTACTAATTTCTAAAGCATGAACATAAAAATCTCACAACTAATCAGCTTGATAAAGGTAACTTAAGGCAGTTTTGTACCTTAACTAGTGTTAGTATTTGACTTACTTGTAACTGCTACATGTCTGTTGGATTTTCCTTCATCTATGGTATCCATAACTTCATCTGGACTACATACAAAACGCTCTGTGCAACCCTATAAAATAATTTTAAGTATGTTGATATCCTTACAAATTATTTCAGTGCTTCCCTAAATAATCATTCTATATTATCTTATTAGTACCTTTACATAAGGAACTCGGTTTTTATCTTCATGAACTGAAAGGTTGGTCTTTGAAACTAAAAAAAAAAAAAAAGAAATAATATTAGCAACACTTTCCTAAACTTTAACACTGGCTATGAAATTCAGTTGTTTGCTTCCCAAGTCAGCCTGATAATAATAGGTAAACTTTAAAAATATGAAAAGGTCACTATTAAAATAAGAACCTATTGAAATAATAAAGAGATTTATATAGAATACAATGCAGCAATATAGAATTTTAGGTCCAGTCCAACCTCTACCTACCACCCACATTTTGGAAATGAAAACATTAAGCCAGAGTGGTTCAATGATTTGCCCCAAAACCACACACACACACACACACACACACACACACACACACACACTCTCTCTCTCTCTCTCTCTCTCTCTCTCTCTCTATATATATATATATATATATATTTTTAAATATATATATGAAACCCTATTATGCAAATAGACCGAATAGCGAAACAACCGAACAACTGGTCATTATGATATGCCATGACCACCAGGGGTGCATGTGGAACATGGCAGGTGTAGTTGGCCACGGCGGACGATGGAGCAGGGAAGTGAGGGCAGCAGACCAAGGTGGGGCACCTGTTGCTGTCATTGGAGCGAGCCTCTGGTGGTTACAGAAAATTCTTTGCTCCTGTGCACTGTGGTCCTGCCCAGCGCTCACACCTGCTGCCAACACCAACCCTGCTTGTACCTGCTGCTGGCGCCAGCCCTGCTCACTCGGCACTATCAGCGGATGCAAGCAGTGGCTGCTGGCTCTGATCGCTCTACCTCCCCCTGCTCCTGTGGGGTGATTAAGGCAGCAGCCACTGCTTGTACCCGCTGCTGGTGCCAGCCCCAATAGCTCCACACCATCAGTATGTGCGAGTGGGGCCAGCATCATCAGTGCATGAGAGCTGTGGTGGCGGAAGTGGGACTGCTGGCAGACAGGGGACCAGGGCCATGCGGGAGGGGCAGGGCAGGGTCACAGAGATGGGCCAAGACCCATCCCTGTGCCCACCGCAGTTTCACGAACCACAGCTCCTTTCAACGTGCACAAATTCGTGCACTAGGCCCTTAGTCTATAATAATAAAAGCGTAATATGCTTATTTGTCCTTCTGGATGACTTTCTGGACAAAGCTGGGGCTGAGAGGGGAAGCTCAGGTTCCAGGTGCCAAAGGGAAGTTGGTGCCAGCAGCTGGGGGTAGGAAGGCCTAACTGTTGTAGGAATTTCATGCATCCCATCTCTAGCCCTATATAATAAAAGCCAAATATGCAAATTGTCCCCTCTACCAGGAGTTCGAGCGCTCGCTATGATGTGCGCTGACCACCGGGGTGGGGTGAGGGTGTGGAGGAAATGGAACATGGCGGGTGTTGGTGACTTAGTGCTGGCAGTGGGCAGCAATGGAGGTGCTGGCCCCGATGAGAGTGGGACTGCAACAAGATGGTGTGTAGCAGTAAGGGGGTGGCGCCAGGCCAAAAGCGGGACCCAATCACCTCACTGATGGCTCCCAGGTGTTAAGGGAGCCGTGAGGGGACATGCAGGAGCTTGGGAGCCCAGAGGTCAGGTTGGACCTGCCTTTCCACTCCAGAGGCTTGCACTTCAATTGTCAGCCAGGCCTAGGGACCGCACCCGTGCAAGAATTTCAAGCACTGGGCCTCTATGTATCTAACTAATTGACAGCTGATGGAAAACCAGAACTCGGGATCTCTTAACTCAAGTTCAATGTTCTAATTAATAATTAAGAAGCATCAATCAATAGCTGCTTTAAATAAGTTACTCTCTTGTGTCAAATGACATTTAGTTAAAACTTAAAAAAAAAAATTAAATGTCTATTTCCTATAACTTAAGTTAATTTTATATAGGTAACTAAAAAAATGTTCTCACATCTATTTAAAAAAAAAAAAAAAAAAAAGCCCTGGCTGATGTTTCTTAGTGGTTAGAGCGTCGTCCCAAACACTGAAGGGTCTTGGGTCTGATCCCCAATCAAGGGCATTTACCTTGATTGCAGGTTTGATTCCTGGCCCCAGTCTGGGCAAGTGCATGAGGCAACCAATCAATGAGTCTCCCTCACACTGATATTTCTGTCCACTTCCCCTCTCCCCACTTTCTCTAAAAATCAATAGAAAAAATATCCTCAGGTAAAGATTAACAAACCAAACCAACAAATAAAAAGAACATATGCTATTTTAAAATAATTAAAGGGCAAGAAGGTAACTTACCATCTAATAGGTCCCTTATCTTATCCAAATAAATTTCAAAATATGAAACCTAAAAGGCAAATAAATAAAGGAAAGAAGATCAATTAAAGTTATAAAATAATTTATTCACTTACTCATTAAATATTTATTGAAGAGTGAGTGCCAGACATCATCTAGAGTAAGGGGACAGAGTTATCAATAACAACTCAGCCATAGCTCATACTCTAATCAGAAGACCTAATTTTACTAACCTGCTTATATAATAAAAAAAAAAGCAATTTCCATTATATATCTTCATCTAATATGAACTAAATTATACAAGAACCTTTAAGTTCCACAGTAAAACAAATTCCTTTATTTTACAGAGAAGGAAAATAAGGCAAAAGAGACTTGGCTAAATTGTTTAAGGTTATCTAAAGACAGATGAACTATCTATATCTGTCCAAAAATAATTCTCAAATACTTTAAAATGTTTTTAAAAGAAAATTAGCATTTATTACTTTTTAGAACAGTATTATCCTAGGTATAAAATAAAATACAACCTTTCCCCAAGGATTTTACCTTAATATGAAATTCCAAATTTTCATCCATGGAATAAATATAATTAAAAATATCTTGCACTATTCTTGGTATAATTCCCATGCCTTCTGGATCATGAAGTTTTCCCTAAACAGAAAACAAGACTAGACTTCTTAAATAAACTGTAAATTATGAATTAAAATTCAAAATTTCAATGTATAATTATAGTCAATAGAGAATAGGAATTGTAATGATTGCGTTTTTAGGGGAAGATGGCACTACAAGTATCTAAAAAAACCAATTCAACAATTTATATCTTTTTGTAAGTTACATATAAATATTGTATATAAATACATATACAAACTTAGGTAAGTTAAATATAGAACTGTATAACCACAGGGGTTACCCATTAATCTTAGCCTTTTATTTAATCCTTAGATTTAGGTTATCCACATTTGTAAATGATCATCTTCTACGAAAAGTTTCTTAGCTTCTTTATATATTTGCACTGTTCCTTCTACTTCAAGTCAAATTCTTGGATATGCTAAATGTCCTTGTTCTCAGACTTTATGAAAATGAGTTATCAGAATCGAATAAGCTGCCACTTTATATAGTAAGCTCAGATAAATGATAAAAGCAGATGCTCTGTAGCAGCGGCAAAGCTCTGCAACAGTGGTAAAAGTCTTCTAGAAGCAAAGCTCAAACATGTCTATATCTACTAATAGCAATGATAATTATAGAAACGTTCTTATCAGAAAAGAATAGCAGGAATAGGGGGAAAAGGGATCAAGGAGAAAAGAAAATTATCTGAATAGAATTGAAAACACACAAACATTCAAATTTTTCCATTATAAAGTAACGGAAAATTCCTGTTTAATTCTTAAATGTTCATAATTTCATGGTTATGCTAATTGATAAAAGAAAGCTAGATATTTAAAATATATGACATCATTATTCAAACTCAAGAAAGAACCAGATTCTATCAATGAAGTTATTCATGTATTACCATGTGAGAGAAAGCAAAGAATAAATAAACTGTTTAAAGCATGGCTAAGTTATTTCACAAATAATGACTGAATGTACTGTCTGTACTGCAAACTATATCCAAGTACACACTACAAAATGTTACCTCCATTGTGTGTGTCTTCCCAGAGGATGTCTGTCCATATGCAAATATTGTTCCGTTGTATCCCTCAAGTACATCTATAAGATAGTAAGAAAGTTCATACTTCAGGGAATTCTTTTCCTCAAGTAAAATGCTTAAGAAATTACTTAATGTTAGAAAATATTCTTAAAAAAAAAAAAAAAAAACAAAAAAAAAAAAACAAAAAAAAGCACACATACATTAACTCTATTCCTTATCCATGCATAATAAACTTCGTGGGAAGAATGGTAGGGAAGATTTCAGATTTCTTTTGTTAATATCAAAGTTTATACATAAAAGATTTATAAAAACATTAAAGAAAATAAATAATATATTTAATATTAACTTTTTTAGTGACGACCAATCCAAGCAATTACTTTCTCTCCATCCCAGATTACTATCTGTGGTTAACAAGAAACAAATTTTATATTCTGTTGCTTATAATCATTTGTCAGTGTACATCTCAAATGTAGGAAATGAGTCTTTGTTCTTGTGATTACATTTGTATGCTAAAGCTTTATATGGGCTAAAAGAAAAATAATTTTCTGCCTATTTACATGCAGATGTGGATGAGTTTTAAAAATAGGACTAATGATTAGTGGTTAAGTCTCACAAACCTATATATTCCTCATACACAAAATATAACAAGCCCAGTCATACCCTCAAAAGCAGTTAAGAAAGTTTGCTATGAAATTAAAAACATATTTTCTAGCCCTTTATTTACCCCAAATCTACTATTAACATCTAAGTATCTTCCTCCAATGAGATGAAAGGGGAAAAAGAACAGAGTAAATAAGAAGGTGACCTTTTGATTTCCAATTTTCAGGGATTCAGTTTGTTCTGTCTTGGTGACAAGGAAAATATGAAATTACATTCTACTTTAAAGGAAGCCTAAGTAAAGAGAAACCTCTGTTTTAAGTAGGAGATGGTAACAGTGAAAAGTAAATTTGTAAACAAGCCAATCCTTGTTTTTTCAACTGATTGTTTTTAAAGGGGAAAAAGCTGTCCCAACCATGGACACAACTAACAAGGTAATAGATTGCCCTCCTGCAATTTGGGACCCCCCAGGGGATGTCAGACTGCCAGTTTCAGTCCAGTCCCTGCAGGCCAGGCCGAGGGACCCCACTGGTGCATGGATTGAGCCTCTAGTATGCATATAAGATCTTTAGTTAATCTCTTCCCACCCTTCCCCCCTCCTCTTCCCTCTGATATTCATCAGTCTGTTTCATGTTTCCATGCCTGTGCGTTGAACATTAACCCCCTGGTGGTAAGTGCACTGTGGCTTAGACTTTATTATATATATATATATATATATATATATATATATATATATATATATAGAGAGAGAGAGAGAGAGAGAGAGAGAGAGAGAGAGAGAGAGAGAGAAACATTTATATTATGTGAAACTATTAGAAACTATTATATATGAGGGCTTCTATGATAATAAATGTAGGCAGCACAATTGTATTTGGGACTTCAAAACAACCAGGCCTGCAGGGGAGGGCAGTTAGGGGCAACTGAGCCGGCCGGGGAGCAGTTAGGCATTGATCAGACTGGCAGGGGAATGGTTAGGGGTGATCAGGGTGGCAGGCAGAAACAGTTAGGGACAATCAGACAGGCAGACAGGTGAGCAATTGGGAGCCAGCAATCCTGTGAGAGGGATGTCCCTGATTGTAGAGGGTGCAGGTTGGACACCCTAATCATGCACAAATTTTGTGCACCAGGCCTCTAGTTTTTTATACCAGTAAACCTAATGGTAACCACACACAAGAATCCCCAAACCAGGGCTTATAGCTAAGAACAACAACAAAACAAAACAAAACAAAACAAAACAAAACAACAACAAAAAAAAGGAAACAGAGGAAAGAAGTACTGAATAGTAGACAAAAACAACAGACAAACATAAAGGGAAAAAACCAATGGAGGCACAGATCTACCAGAAAACCAAAAGATAAAATAGCTAAATCTTCATACATCAATTAATTACTATAAATGTAAATTGTCTCAATTCACCAATAAGGAAGTACAGAGTAGCAGAGTGGATCAAAAAACAAAACCCATCTACTACTATTTGTAATATTTTAAACAATAAAAAATTAAAAACAAAACAAAACCCAACCGTATGTTACCAAAAGAGACACATCTAAGCTACAAAGACAAAGGCAGATTCAAAGTAAAAGGGTGAGAAATAATTCTCTATATAACATTCACAGAAAAGCAGTTATAGCCATACTTACATCTGACAAAATAGATTGCAAGACAACAAGAGACAAAGATGGACACTTTATAATGATAAAAGGGATACTACATCAAGAAAACATACATAAAACTTCTTCATACACACATTCTCTCTCTCTCTCTCTCTCTCTCTCTCTCTCTCTCTCTCTCTCTCTCTCTCTCACACACACACACACACACACACACACACACACACAAAACCAAAGACTCCAAAATATTTATAACTACTCACATAACTAAACAGTAGCTCCAATAAAGGTTTAATTTCCAAAATATATAAAGAACTTGTAAAACTCAACACGAAACAAAAAACCCAATCAAAATGTGGGCAGAGGACCTGAAAATATACCATTCACAAGAAGACATACAAATAGCCAATAGATATATGAAAAGATGTTCAACCTTGACTGGCAATTAGGGAAATTCAAATCAAAACTATAATGAGATAACCACCTCACACCTGTTAGAGTGGCCATTATCAACAAAACAAGCAATAACAAGTGAGGTTGTAGAAAAAAGGAACCCTTAGTCATTGCTGATAGAATTGTAGTGGTTGTACCACTATGGAAACCACTCTGGTGAGTCTTCAAAAAATTGAGAGAGCTATCATACGACCCACCCAGCAATCCCTCTCGTGGGTATATATGCAAAAAACTTGAATTTATGTACATAAAAAGATACATGCGCCGAAACCAGTTTGGCTCAGTGGATAGAGTGTCGGTCTGCAGACTGAAAGGTTCCGGGTTCAATTCCGGTCAAGGGCATGTACCTTGGTTGCACGCATATCCCCAGTAGGGGGCGCGCAGGGGGCAGCTAATAGATGATTCTCATTGATGTTTCTAACTCTCTATTCCTCTCTCTTCCTCTCTGTAAAAAATCAATAAAAATATATATTAAAAAAAAAGATACATGCATCCCTATATTCATTGCAGCATTATTCATGGTGGTCAAGACATGGAAACAATAGAAGTGTACCAAGACTGAGGACTCAATAAAAAAGATGTGGTACATATACACAATAGAATACTACTCAGCCATAACAACAAAGGATGAAATACTGCCATTTGCAACAACATGGATGGACCTAGAGAACATTATTTTAAGAGAAGTCAGTCAGTCAGTCAGTCAGTCAGTCAGTCAGAAAAAGTTAAGAACTCTATGCTTTCGCTCATATGTAGGATATAAAACTGAAACTCATGAACACAAAGAGCAATGTGGTGATTGCCAGAGAGAAGGGGTCTGGAGAAGGGGAACCTATCTAATAAAAAGGGAATATGCTAATTGACCCTGGTGCCATCGCAAAGATGGTGGCATCCACAGCCAAAAAGGAGGGAATATGCTAATTGACTGCCACACCCTCAAAGATGACAACACCCACAGCCACAAGATGGCAGCACCCAGTTCCCTCAGCCCAGCCAGGGCGCCTGCCTCTTAAGTCCCTCAGTCCCCTCAGCCCCCCAACTGCCCAGGGCCAGCCCGAGGCACAGGCAAGCCTTGGGTGGTAGCTGCCCAGGGCCACCCGAGGCTCAGGTAACCAGGACTGGCCAGCTGAGGCTTGCGCTGCCAGCAGTCAGCAGAGGTGTGATGGGGGCGTCACCTTCCCCCGATTGCAGGATTGCCTCCCACCCTGAGGGACAGGTCAAGCTGAGAGATGCCCCCTCCAGTGCATGAATTTTCATGCACCCGGCCAGTACTAACATAAGGTGACAGGATAAGATTTTACTTTGGGTGGTGGGCATACAGTGCAATATACAGATCTTATAACACAGAAACCCACACCTGAAACCTCTATGTTCATGTTGGCTGATGTCACCCCAATCAATTTAATAAAATAGATAGATGATAAATAAAAAAAGACTAGCTCAGACTTTACTCCTTCCTCCAACCCAACTCTATAACAACCCCCAAATAAATCTAGATTACTATGTGTTCTTATAATATCTGATTTAATCATACTTATTGCTGTCTGTTGCAACTGTCACTTTAGTGGTCTGCCTTCCTCACCAGAGCGTCAACTCCTTGGGGCTGGCGTGTGTTTAATTCCTAGCACAGTGCCTGGGAACTCGAATGCTTGCTGAATGATTATTATCATCATTAACACACAGCATCTTTCTAAAGTTCCCGCCCCCTTTTAAATATACTTTTGTCATTCTTGTGAAAAACAGAGGGCAATTATGAACAATATTACTTCTTTCATACTTTATAAACAAGAGAAACATATTTAGCAAGTGAGACAACAGCATATTGATTTCTAAAAGTAGCTTAATCTCTCTGAACTTTACCTTCCTCATTAGCAAAATATATGTTTAGGGGAAAACTAAGAATTAGAAGTTACTATATAAAATTAATGTTAACAGTTAGAGTATGTGCCAGACTCAATTTTTCATATTACAATGTATTTAAGCCTTATAACATCCTGTACAAGGTTCTATTTGATATTTCTAGTTAATAACATTTTTTAATGTATTTTATTGATTTTTTACAGAGAGGAAGGGAGAGAGATAGAGAGCTAGAAATGTCGATGAGAGGGAAACATCGACCAGCTGCCTCTTGCACACCCCCCACCGGTGATGTGCCCGCAACCAATGTACATGGCCTTGACCGGAATCGAACCTGGGACCTTTCAGTCCGCAGACCGACCCTCTACCGCTGAGCCAAACCGGTTTCGGCTAGTTAATAACATTTTACTGAGGCATGAAGAGATTAAAAACTTGCCTATAGTTCCATAGCTAGTAAGATAGAGCTGGGATATAAACCCATAAAGACTCTTAACCACTATAATATGTTATCAAGTAACAAAGACCTAATATAAGTATATGGCAAGCTACATCTGAAAAAATTAAATGTGAATTCAGTGATAGACAGTCCAGGTCAGGAAACCATGGCTGGAAACTGGGGAATGTATGAAGGCCTGATATAATGCCTGGCAGATAGCAAGCACTGAATACAAGGGGGGAAAATTTGCAGACAACACTCAGATTCTGAATTCAAAAGAGAATATAAATCGGTAAGCCTTGTTTTAAAAAAAAAATCTGTCTAATGAATCTACATAAAGTTACACACTTATATAGAAAATGATGAAACAATGCAACCTCAGTGGACTGTCGGGGGCCCACAGAGTACTAGCAGCTTTCAGGTCATTCCTGGTAACTTGCTCATCAAATCTGTAACTCAGATGAAATATCAACAGGAAAATCATTCTGCTGATCTTTGCCTACCTACAGTTACTAACCTTGCCCTTTGACCTGATGTGTTCACCAATGACTGTCCCAAGTTCAACCGTCCATGTATTTAATTGGTTTAGTGTCCTCACACCTCACCAGACCCCCACCTTTACCCCATCTCTCTCCTTATATCTATACATTTAATTGGTAACTCCACCACATTCATATCCTTATCCAGGACAAGATTTACTAGCTACTACATCCAAGCTCCTAAAAGAGAGTATATGGATGAAGTTAAAAGGAAAAAGTCATAGCCATATGATACTTTTCTAGTATAAATTACAAAGCTGGCAAAGAAGCAAGATAGAGACAGTGAGAGAAAGTTTCTATTGTAACAAATACTTGAAGTCTAATTTTGTAGAGTGAAAACATCATAGGCTATGCTTTGCCTTAGTACTATTATGATTGATTAAATTAAAAATAATGTTCCTTCTGAATTCTTAACATTTGCAACAACCTGGATGGAATTGGAGAACATTATGCTGAGTGAAATAAGCCAGTCAATGAAAGAAAAACACCACATGATCTCACTCATTTATAGATAATAAAGAACATTATAAACTGATGAACAAAAAGAGAGACAGTAAAGCAACAAATAGACTGTCAAATTACAGTGGGGAGGGTAGGGAGATATGGGGGAGATAAGAGGTCAACCGAAGGACTTGTATGCATGTATATAAGCATAACCAATGCACACAAAACTCTAGGGAGGGAGGGCATGTATGGGAGTGGGTGGGTGGGGGAACAATGTTAAGATATGTACACATATAATACCTTAATAAAAAAATAATAAAAATGTTTCTTCTTAGAAGATGGAGGGAAAAAAGTAGCAATTTACATCTGTTGTGTGCTTACTTTCACCCTGGGTGAGGTACTTCTCCAGAACCATCTTTTTAAACCCCCACAATACCCTTATTTTGCAAAAGAGGAAAGGGAGAGTTAGAAAGGCATAGAAAGGTTAGGTAACTTGCTGTGAGTCTCACTAGAAATGGCCAACCTGGACTTCAATCTAGGTTTGTCTGATTCCAAAGCCTGTGCTCTTAACCACAGTGCAAAGAAGAGAACTGTAAGAAAACCAAGATGGTGGCGTAGAAAAACCCCAGTACTCGCCACCTCCTACAACCACATAAAAATTAAAACTAAAATATAAAACATCATTCAGAACTGCCTGAAATCTGACTGAATGGAAGTCCTACAACTAGAGAAGTAAAGAAGAAAGCACACTGAGACTGGTAGGAGGGGTGCAGGCACAGAACATTCTGGTATAACACCCACATACATGTGGCGTTTTCTTAATTGAGAGGGATATCTCCAAGGCTTCCTGTGAGAAGCAGACAGTTTTAACCCCATACCAGACCACGAGCCCAGGGTTTCAGAATGGGAAGAGACATCCTGGTAACTTTGGGCTGTAAAAAGCAGCAGTGACTGTGGCTGAATTACATGAAAGCTGCTAGAGTCCCAGGTATTCCTCTTAAAGGGCCTACATACAAACTTACAAGGTCCCGCTTCCTCTGAGCTCCAGTACCAGGTGGTGGCTTTGAGGGAATCCAGGGACATATGAGAAGGAACTGGACTGTCTGGCATTGGGGCAGGAACTTGGGGGCAGCTTTCTTAGACCTAGGTGCATACAAGAATCATTGTTTCTGTGCTTGGATTTCCCCCATCAGAGAGCTGATCGACAGTTATATCTGAGTTTCCATTGGTATGGCCACATTGTTCATTTCATCCTGGTGATACCCCGAGACTCTGCCCCATCCAATTTGCAACCCCACTCAAGCTGTTTGCTGCTGCTTTTCCATATGAACGGCCAGTTCTGGCTCAGAGTTCAGACTTTGCTAAAACCTCTTAACCAAGCAGCAGTTGGAATCAGCATGCCTCAAATGTATCAATAAAAGGCTCAAGACCCAGCACCAGCAACAGCCTGCCTTGCTTCAGCTGGACCTCACATGGGCACTTCTAAGTGTAATACAAGTAGCAGTCATCTGCAGATCTCTTGGTAGCTCCTGCCAGGTGGCCTTAGGCAGTAGCTGACTTTGCATCTCCCAGGAGGCCCAAGAGCCAGTGCACCCAGTAGACAGCTTCAGACCATACTAGATTACAACTCTACATATCCACAGTGACACACTCAAGGAGCAGACTCAATGAGCACCAAAGAAAACCCCACTGAAGCAAGTCCAACTCTTTGGCATGTCTGCTGCACAGCAGCTCTTCCACTGTAGACTCAGCTGGTCTTCATAGCCAATTGGCCTAGAGTGACACCAACAGCAATCAAGCTCAATTACAAGACTATGCACATAGTCCACACCAAAGCACAGTGAACCTACAGTGCCTAGCTCAGGTGACTGGGGAGGCCTGAGTCACTGGACCCTATTGGACACCTAATACACAAGGCCACTCTACCAATTCTAGGAGACATAACAGTTTTACCTAGTACATATAAACAAACACAGGGAAGCAGCCAAAATGGAGAGACAAAGAAACATGTTACAAATGAAAGAAATGGAAGCAAGCGAACTATTGGATAGAGTTCAAAACAATGGTTATAAGGTTACATCAATAACATTCCTATTTTAATTCTTGCTGGTTTCAATGTCAATACAGATGATTCCACTAAAATACCCTGGCTTTTCAGATACTTATCCAATTTTCTCTATGATCTTTCCCCCCCTTTCCAGGGTCTTATTCTTTACTCCTTCAGATGCCAATTCTACAGGTCCTATGGTGTAGGACCTTTTCATTACTAACTGTACTGCCTCCCTAATCTCAATTTCAAGTATCTACCTCCCATTATTTCTTCTTGGACCCTGATTTCAACTAATTTTTTACTCTACTGAGACAATTACACTTTCCCTCATATCTGTCTCCCTCATGTCCTCCTTCCTCTCACCCACCTTAGATTTTATGGTTCATTATTATCATCACTTTCTTAACAACATCTTCAATTCTCTTGCCCTTTTTTCCCTTTTTGTACTCACCTGGCAAAACCCCAAATGGGTAAAGTCAACTCTTCTGGAAGCTCCTCAAGTGAGCCCTTAATGCTACCTGGCAGTATTTCCTAATGCACTCACTTCTCTACTGATAGACAGCTGACTTCATACCTTTTCCTGGAACCTCCTCCCCCATCCTCATTCTGTGATGACTTTGCTTTCTATATAATAGACAAAATGAAATTAATATGAAGAGACCATCTACATTTTTCCCTCCATCATGTCTATAAACCTACTTCTATCAACAAACTCGACCTTCTCTCCTGTTACTGTCTGTGCTCCTACTAAATCTTAAGCTCTGAATCCCAACTTCCCTACCCTGGTGAATGCTACAAAAAGATAAATTTTGCTCCAATTTAAGCAGAACTTTTTAACAATTAGAGCTTTCAAAAAATGGAATAATTCATAAAATAATGGCTACTTAACTGTAAGATCTCTTTGAGAAAAGGGATTTATGTAACTAGAAGTCCAGATAATCACAACACCCACTCAGCTCTAGAGTTCTATGATTTTAGAAAATATGAAATTGAAAAATATCCTAGTATAAGTTAATAGTATTACCTGGAATGTGAATACTTTTCTCACCCTGGTGATTCAGGTTAAATTACTCAAGGATTTCTCTTTGGACTACAAGTCTTTACGGAAGGAATAACAATGAAATGGAAGAATGACTGCCATTATTGACTATTTTTTAGAAACTCATATAGCTATCTATTTTCATTCTCATACTGCTGTATTTCTATAATTGTTATCTTAGAAATGATCCTGGGAATATCTAATAGAAATGTATCTTTCAATAACAGTATAGTATCATATTATAATTCTTACAACAACACCATGCACTAGGTACTGTATATAAATTAAGTCATAGAATTTAGGCAAATACTAATTGCATTTGACCTTTTTACTGGTTAATCACTGAAAAAAAAGTTGTTTAAATAAGAAAAAGGACATTAAAATGAAAAAGAGAATGCTGGGTAAATGGCAAGATTGCAAACAAAACTTTACTTATTGCTGGGACAACTTGGCAGATTAAATATATTCACCTTTTACAATCTTCTTTGCACAGTCATTATACACTTGTTCTTGCGATGTGTTTGACTGGAATACCCGATCAAATGCATAAGGCTTGGTCTGAAAAACAAAAACAAAAGTTTCAACTACACAAATTAAAAAGGATTTCTAAGCTTCTTTAAAGATATCAACATATATTTAACCTTCACAACCGAATAATCTATTCTGCATCACTTCATGTCATAGAATCTTTGTGGCAAAAACCTTAGGGATCTCCAAGTACAGATCCACTAAAATAAACTCTACAAAAATAAGAACGTCTTTTAGTCTTTGTTATATATCTAGGGCCTAGCACACTAATGATAATTAGCACTATTATGATAAGCACTTGAATACTGCCAGTGAATTCTGATTTGATGTGTGTCTATGCTGGCAGGGGTTGAGACTATATTTCCAATACTAATATCATGCTTGGCTGATGTGGCTGTGGTTGAGCATTAACTCATGAACCAGGTCACAGTTCGATTTCCCTTTTAGAACACATGCCCATGTTGTGGGCTCAATCCCCATTAAGGGGCTGGTGGGAGGTAGCTAATTGATTCTTTCATCATGGATGTTTCTCTCCCTCTCCCTCTCCTTTTCTCTCTCTGAAATAAATAAAAACATAGCTTTAAAAAAATGTTAAAAAACACTAATAAAATGTTGCAGATAAAGAAATTCGAATCCTGAAAGATAAAAAAAAAAAATGGGACAAAGTTAAAATTCAAACCCAAATCTCTAGTTCATTTCAGGGCTCTTTCCATTAATCCATTCAGCTCTACAGCTTACTGCAACAGCTTTTCAATTATTCATTCATTGAAAAAATATGTATGGAATGTTTATGATACTAGAATAACATGTGAGAATGACAAGACAGATTCACTCTCTTTTAGTGAGTGGAACATAAGTAATAGTGGATTAACATCAGACAATTAATTCTGACTAGAATTCTGACTCATGCAACGAAGTGTTATGAGAATACCATTGAAAAGGAAAATGGGGGGACTTGCAACCTAGTTCAGTATCTGGTTAAAACTGTAGTCTTACTTCCCCACTCTGACTAAACCTGGGCGGAGCTGCTGAGCCCAAATCCAGGTTCCCACCACAGCTGACTTGGGCGGAGCATGCCCCCAAAACCCCACCAAGGAGGAGATATATAGGTCAGAGACTCCCTATGAGTTCAGTTCAGGCTTTGGATCCGGAATTCCCCTGGACAAGCAGAACTGATAAATAAAGGTTGAACTTTCCTTCCTCAGAGTGCTGACTGATCGTTTGGTGAGTTGACTAGGAAATGTCAGTTGAGCTGGCACTTAGGCCGCTGCTGACAAGAGCAGACTTCGGGGCACTTGCTTCAGGCTCCAAGACTCAAGGAAGGCATGCCACCGGCACATTAACAGGTTTCTGAACTCACAGGGCCCGGAGGGATTGCGGCAACTCTATGCTCCAGCAGACCCAAAGAGGCAGGAAACACCTTTCTGGGACTCCCTGGGAGGGAAGTCAAAATCAGATGTCTGAAACTGTAAGTCCCCCCCCCCTCCCCCGGGGATACCTGTCCCTATGGAACAGAAGAGGTTGCTGGCCCCTAACTAGGTAATTTTTTTTACCTTAGGATAGCTCAGATCATCTGGAGGAATGGCTTCTAGATGGCATTCACCATCTCTGGGACTTCCCAGTAGGGAAGTCAAAATTCAGCCTGGCTAAGGATTCGAGTCTGGCCTATCTTTAAAAAAAAAAAAAAAAAAAAGATAGAAGCGTTGCGTTCCTAGGGACTTTTCTACTACCTCCTTTATTTTGTTTCTCTGTGCAATTTTAACTGATTTGGTGGTATTCTGTGGTGTAAATGTGGTGTACGCTGGTGTAAAAGTGTTATGTTTGTTTCTGTTTTGTTTTTTTAAAACCCTTCTAAACCTCTGAGTTTCTGTGGTGATTCAAAGTTTTTAGTGGGGAATGTTATCTGTCTTTATTGTTTAACACATCTCTTTGTTGTTTGTTTAAAATTGTTTAGCTAGTAAAATTTCTGTTTGTCTCTCTTAAAAAATATGTATTGCTAATCAGAGAAATGTTAATTATTTACATGTCACCTAAGAATTAAGGCTAAGAGTTCTAATTACTTGGAAAGTATGGCTTTGGTGTAATGGAAGAAGGTAAAGAGAAATGTTGAAAGTTGAATGGATGACAGGCCAGTAAGCCGGAACAAATAGAATAGGGAAACTGAGCAGAAATCCCGTTTTCCATAAATCCTTAAATCCCAACTTCCCTAAATCAAGGACATTGGAGCCATCTTGTAAATCCTGTCTTCCCTAAACCTAGGACATTTGGAAGTAAATGATTTGCATTTGTCTCCCTAAACAGAGGTTAAATAGTTTATGTCAATGTACTCAGGGATACTGATCAAAATCTGATTAGTGTCATTTGCTGTCCACACTCAAGGACAAATGAAGTTAGAAAAGGCAACCTTGTCCTTCCCTGTAAGGTGGGTAATAGCTCCCCCTCAAACTCCACATAGTAAAACTAGTCCCCTGGGAATTAAAAGGATGTGTGAAACAGACTGGCCATTTTTTGGAATAGGATGGCCTCCGGAGGGCACATTGGATGACCCCACAATCAGGAATGTTCACAGTATTATCACAGGAGACTCAGGTCATCCTGACCATTCTCTTATATTGACCAGTGGCTATAAAGCCTCTTTGGATTTGGTTTTGTGTATATAAGGAAAAAGGGTAGGCTCTTCAGAAGGAGAATAAGTCTCCTATTCTGCAGGAACCCCCTGAGAAAGCCCTGCCAGTTCTACCACCTCTATACGTGCCTCAAGCAGTACTCAGTGCCTCTTTGCCTACCCAGAGAAGCTTAGATATACCACCTCCTTCCGTCTCCCCACAACCAGACTCTCCAGAGCCAGTTGGACGATGTTTGTGCTCAGTTGGTTGGGGACCCAGACCACTCCCGGCTTTCCACTCCCGGCCTCTCCGAGAAATGCAGGGTCCTCATATAATTGGAGAAAACAGGATCCCACAAGAGGGGGATCCATCTTTTATTACTAACCTTTCACTATAACCAATCTCTTAAATTGGAAGCACCATATTCCCACTTATTCTGAAAAACCTCAAGCAATCTTTCAGACCCATAAACCCACTTGGGTCGACTGCAAGCAACTCCTTCTCAGGCTCTTTAACACTGAGGAGCACATGAGAATAATAATATTGTAGAAGCTTGGAAATGGCTCCAGACCCAGGCCCCACCAGGGACATAAGACACAGAAAGATGAGCCAGGGAGGTTCTCCCAGATGTGGGAACCAGATGGGACCCAAATTCGGAGGATGGGAGGGCCAGATTAGAGAGATATTGGCTGGCCTTCCTCCAGGGGCTCCAGGATTCGACCAAGAAGCCCACTAATATGGCTAAGACCTCTGAGATTTTCCAGAGGCCCGATGAAAGTCCGGCAGCTTTTATGAGAGACACTGTGAAGCATATTGAATTTACATTCCCTTTGACCCAGAGGCCTTAGAGAATCAAACTATGGTCAATGCAGCCTTCATTAATCAGGCTCAGCCAACATAAGGAGAAAGCTTCAGAAGCTTGAAGGGTTTGTGGAAAGAATACAACCGAGCTATTAGAAATAGCAAACAGGTTTTCATTAATTGGGACAATGCAGCTAAAAAGGAGTCTAAGGAGAAACTAAAAAGGAAAGCAATTCTGATTGCTACGGCTGTTATAGAAGGTAGCTCCCAGAAAAGGAAAGGGAGACAGCAAGGAGCCAAGTCAGGAAAAGAAAGGACAAATGTAAATGGGACCAGTGTGCCTGTTGTACAGAAGTAGGGCATTGGAAGAATGCCAGAAGCAGCAGGCAAGGTCATCCAAATCACCCCATCACTATCAGCCAGAGTCACCTGAGGCAGACCTCATCAGACTGGCAGCATAGGACTCCGACTAGGACAGTCTGGGCTCTTTCCAAATGGGCCTTCATGAGCCCATGGTCGAAATGAAAATCGGAGGCCAGACTGTGAACTTTATGGTTGATACAGGAGCAGAGCACTCAGTAGTTACTCAGAAAGTAGCTCCCCTCTCAGGACAGGAAGTCACCATTATTGGAGCTACGGAGACCACACCTCCAGACCATTCTGCCACCCTCTACGATGCCAATTATGGGGCCACCAGGTCGTTCATGAACTCCTGATTTTGCCAGATTGCCTGGTCCCTCTAATGGGCAGAGACCTTTTAGCCAAAATGGGAACAGAAACCACCTTTGCCCTGAAGGCTCAGCACAACTGCACTTAGGTGAGGAAACCTCTCCAATGATCCCGTCTTTAGCAGTATTTAGGGAGAAAGAATGAAGACTTCATACCTCCCAGTCAAAGGACTCACAATTAGAGCCTGAAGGCAAGAAGGAATTCCCTCTGGTCTGGGCAGAAGGAACCCCCCCCCCCCCCCACAACCACACCCCAGGTTAATTGACTTGAAGCCTGGGGCACAGCCTGTAAAACTTCCTGTTTCTTGCCTTTAGCTGACATCCTCCAGTCAACCCTTTTGCCTTTGAGTGGGAAAATCCAACCACAGGAATAAGGAACAGTTCACCTGGACCAGACTGCCACAGGGTTCAAGAACTCCTTAATTCTTTTTAGCAGGAGCACTAGCAGCAGATTTGTCCAAATTTCCAAGACAGACGTGGGGTGCAATCTACTCCAATATGTAGACGACCTCCTACTGGCTAGCTCCATGTGAACTCAGTGTTGGGAAAGAACACAAACCCTTCTAAGACAACTCTTAACTGAAACAGGTTACTGGGTGTCCAAAAGGAAGGCTCAAAACTATCAGAGGGAAGTCAAATACCTAGGTTTCCTAATTACCCAAGGGAAACGAAGACTAGGAACTGAAAGAAAATAGGAGGTATGTGCCATACCAGTCCCCAGCACCTGGCGACAGATTCGGGAATTCCTAGGGGCAGCATGGTTCTGTCGAATTTGGATCCCAGGATTCTCAGATCTAGCTAAGCCCCTCATGAAGCCTTAAAAGGAGAGAAAAAGGCACCCCTGAACAGGAAAAAAAGCCTTTGTGACCATATGACAGAGCTCGCTGAGGTGCCA